TGGGGTCCACAACCTTTTTTTTTGTAAACAGCCAGGTAGTAAATATTTTAGGCTTTGCAAGACACATTATAGGCTATCTTGCATATTCTTCTTGTTTTGTTTGTTGGTCTGCATGCTTGTGTTTTTTTTTACAACACTATAAAAATTTTTTAAATCTTTCTTAGCTCTCCAGCTATATAAAAACAGGCCACAGGCCAGATTTGGCCCACAGGCTATAGTTTGCCCACCCCTTATGTAAGCTTTGGCAGCTTCCATACTTTATTCATTTCTAGTATGTCCAGGCTCCAAACACTGGATTTTACTACACACTGTTGAAATCAGAATAGAGACAGTGGAAGGCAGGCTGAAACTAGGCAGGAGTTCACTGGTAATACTTCAATTACATAGTCATTTTTCTCACTTTATACCTACTCTGATCAGTTCCCAGGGTAATCAGATCCTAAACACTGGCTCATGCAATGAGAGGAACACTCTAATGTCAATTTATCAATGGAATAAATATGTTAGCATATCCAGCACATTCCACCTATGTGAGCCAAGCTACAAAATAATAGCAATAGGTAACCTTTATATAGCACCTACTAGCCAATTAAGCACTTTACACACACACACACACACACACACATTGCTTTTCTGAATTTGTATTTTATTGTAAACTATTGATATTTTGTAAGGGAATATTTGTGCTTTTAAAAAAAATTTATTATACATATTTATGGGGTACAGAGTGATGTTTCAATACATGTTGTATATTAGTCAGAGTTCTCCAGAGAGACAGAACCAATAAGGTATGTGTATAAATATATGACAGGGAACTTAGAGGAATTGGCTCACACAAGTATGAAGGCTGAGGAGGCCAACGATAAGCTGTCTGCAAACTGGATGCTGGTCGTGTGTGGCCCAGTCCAAGTCCAGAAGCCTCAGGACCAGAGATGCCAGTGGGGTGATTCTCAATCCAAGGAAAAGGCCTGAGAGCTGGGGTGCCACTGGTGTAAATCCTAGAAACTACAA